TTTATTGCTACAATGGCTACTGTCTCAGTGATCCCTCAACAGCTGACGTGCCCTTAGATTTTACACGTGATAAAACAAAACTGGACAATTTCAATAAGGAAGTGGATTGATTGGAAACCTGTCTGAAGGGTTCAGCAAAAAGCTAGCACAGTAGAAAGGTAAAAGTCCTTGTACAATTTCTCATTTAAAGGTGGCAAAGTGTAGAGAGCTAGTGATTAAAAATAGCATGCCCTCTTCTGATTAGGAGCAATTAGATCTTTTTCCTACAACTAAGCCAAATGAAACATGACCTTATTCTGATAGGCATATGAAACAGAAACTGTGATCAAAACTGTTTTGTTTAGAGCTTTATTATTTATTACACAATGAAACTTTATTCTGCTACTATGCCTGAAATATTCATAAAAGTATAAAAGCTACTTCAAAACAATAAAATTATCTTCCATGGCACAAAGTTCCCCAAAGGGAACATCATATATGTGGGGGGGGGGGGGGGGGGGGAAAAGTGATTCAGTTTTCCACAACACGTCAGGAACCAGCGACGAGAAGTGGCTGTGCAAACCTCCCCTAAGCTTTGTGCACCATCTCCTGCTTCCAGGCAGTTGAATATTCAAGGCCAAAATCTAGGATCTGCTGCAAAGGAAAATGTCTCAAGACAATACTTTGTAAAATAAGAGACTTCCTCAGCAACATATGAAACCATAGGTTAAATATTCCCTCTGAATTACGTTGTTTGCCCCAAGGAGCCACAGAATCATGAAAGACCAGAGGTGTGAGACGCTGCACTTAGCACATGAAAGCCAGCAGCCAGGTTCATGGAAGGAAGAAAAGGCAAACACGAGGTGGAAGCTCCAGGGTTATGAACATGAAATCATGGAGAGATAAGGACTCCAACACTGTCATTTCCCTCCCACTAATTGCTGTCTCTCAAGCACCACCTTCACTGATTGCTCTCCTTGCTGCCCTCTTCCCTCCCTTACACAGCTCTCCTCCCCAGATTGCTTCCCTACCCAGGGCTACCCAGTTTGTGGTGACAGCCAGCAGAAAAACAACTTGTGCTTCCAAAGCAGAAGGAAAACTCAACAGAAGGGTCACTGAGTGCTCCAAGAGCCCGGTTTTAGTCACGTTGGCTTTGTCAGTTAGTACTGTCCCACGGAGCAGAGGCGAAGGCGACCACTTCAGAGCGAGAGGCAGCGCGAGCGCTGATCTCTACTCAGCTGAGGTCACAGATTAAAAGGGAAAAAAAAAAAAAAGAAGCAAATTTAGAAAACAATGAGTTTGCAAGTAAGGGACTAAATCAGAGTAATGAGATGGTGTAGGTGGAAATAATGAACAACCCGCACAGCTTCCTGGGCAGAGCAGCCACGGGGTCACTCCCACCGTCTCCTCCTGCCTCCAACCTGCCCTGAACACACACGGATAATCTTTAGATGAATGACCACTAGCTTATTTTGCTAATTTTGAACTGTGGAAATAAAAAGCCAGTGAGGGTGTGCGTACATATGACTGTTGGAAATCTAACCTCTGAAGTGCAGATTATTTTAATTAAAGCCTGAAGAGCATGCATGTTTCTGACCAACAGTTTCCATTCTGATCTTCAGTGCTGATGAAAATACACACGAGTGCCTCCTCTCAGCTCCCATGTTAAAAGCATTGTCTTTAAATGGCAGTGGGGACACTGTTGACCCCAAGCAACCAAATCCCAACATAGGCAAGGAAAAAGTCCTGTGAACGGTTTCTCCGGGTTGCTTTGCATTTGCAGAGCCCTCAAGAGGGCCCACAAAGCACCTCCAACCTGACCAGCTCTAGCGCTGGGAATCCCATCCACGTGCCCTGTTGTGGTGCCAGGATCCCACTGCTGAACCACAGGGCGCCCTCCATTTTGTGACACCCGCGTAAGGAAACGCGGCGCCTTCAGAGCTCGCCTCGCGCTCCCACGGCTGCCTCCCGCTCCCAGGCACCGGCCCAAGTAAGGGCAGGTGAAGCTCTGCAGGCACCAAACAGGGCAGGGGAAAAGAGAAAAGGCCCCGCAGCAGCTTCTCATCTTCATAATTAATTACCTGGTAGATACAAAAGCGCTGCTTCTCATAAAAAGTCTCATGCATATGACGAGGGCAATTAAAAGGGGTGGCAGGAGGATCCAGATAACTCGGTTGACTGTTTTTTTTCCAGCACAACCTAGTTTTCTTTGAGAGAAGACCTGACCTCTAGGAGCTTTTGAGACGTGTGTGTGAACTTACAAAACATATTTCACAAGAACTAGTGAACGATCCTCCGGATTCCAGGCGCTGCAAAACAAGCAACGCATCAGCTTCCCCACGTCCACCACACAGCTCAGAAACATCGCAGACACCACGATGGGAATATAACGTGCCTTAGTAACTAGATCATACATTTGCTCCCACAGCTTATTCATTTTATTGCCTCTGCTGACCTGTATTAGTGAAGTGATGCAAGGATTAAGGCTTCTGAAGGTCTTCAAAGAAGAGCAGGTGCTCTTCTAAAATCTGATGCATTTTGGCAGTTTCGAGCACAGTGAAGTCAAGCCCCTTCAGCCTCCAGGTTTAGCACCGCCTTTGACTGCCTCTCATTCTGTCCAAAGTGCTTTTAATCCACTATAAATACTACTTAAACAATGTGGAAAATTATAACTTTAAACTTAATATAATAGTTAGCAATTTTATACACACAGAAACAAAAACTAAACTTCCATAAAACTAACCTTCATTTACCAGCTTGCATAGCTATATTTGAAAGAACATTTATTTGTGTTCTTTAACCTCTACTTTAAAAAATAATGTTTCTTTTTGTAGTTAAAATAACTGAATTACTTGACTCTCGCATGCATGAAAGGGCAAGGAAAGCAAACACACATCTCACGATCATTTAAACTCTTCTTTCAGACTATCATGACAGTGTGACTTAAAACTACAGAAATCTGAAATCTATTTCTGAGCACTTGAAACTTGACATCTTTTTACATCTCCAATGAGATATTACTGAGGTTTAGCATGACATTTTGAAATGTCACCAGCACTGTCTTGAAACCAAAAGTCTTGACACAGAACAGACACCTACCTGCTTGAATTTTGAAAGAACTTTCTATTTGGGGTGATATTCTAAAAAACCTCTATACAGATCCTTTCTCATACTTTAGAAAATAATACTATTTATTCCACAGAGGCCTTTCAGAATAACTTTGCTTTTGCTGGAGGGCAAAAGTTTGTTAACATGGTGGCTCACGTCAGAGTCACTCAAACTCCCCATTTGATCCCTTTGCAACAGCCCTCGCAGAAGACAAACTCCTGGTCACAAACCTGCTCTCTAGCACAATTTAAGAGCCGGTATCAATGCCAGGCTTATTCAAATGTATAAGCCACTGATCCTAATTTCTACACTGAGGAGTTCCTGAATAAACACGTTCTCTTCATTACTGCTGCCTTTCACACCTAGGTTGTTTCACACTGCTGCAAAATCACACCTAGGTTGTTCAGGGAGGTTACAATGGGACTGTTGTACGTAACGTTCATTTTGCAAAGTTCCTAGAAAATGGATTAATCTGTCTTATTTTTGTTTAGCCTCTTGCTTTGCTAAGTTATCACTGGCAAGCATGTAACACGTCTGTTTAAAACACAGCCAAAAGCCAAGAGTCACCTGTTAGGCCTAGGAGCGTGCCACTATATTAATACACCTGAGATGCAGATTTTCCTAAGTATTGACATTGGAAAAGCACCAAAATGGAAGTCATCACCAGTTCCATAAACAAGGATTGGCCATCTAGATGTCACTCGCCATAGAAGGGGGTGAAAAACGCTGTGATTGTGGCCCAAATCAGCAATACTGGGAGTGATGGTGACGGCTGCTCCTCAGCGGATAACTCTGAGGACAAAGCACATGGGGACACCCCCAAAGGGGCCTTCCCAGGTCCCGGCTCCGATGGCGGCTGCCACAGGCAACCGGCGCTTGCCCATTTCATCCATCTTCCTTTCAGCTTGTTCCCCAGCTCCTCAAACCCAAACCTGCAGCAGAGGAGGGGTTGTCCTCAACACAGACAGGCAACCACCTAGGGAGAAGTTGTTTTAGGGGGACTTGGACCAATTCGGACCGATTCTGCTTCTTTAGAAGTTACAGAATTTCACACTGAAGAAAATGTAATTATTGTCAGTGTTCACCTCCTGCTACTATTATTCACGCAGTAACACAGTGAAAATAAAACAGGAAAATATCATATGATTAAAATTGGATAAAGCAAAGATGCTTTTTGTAACATAGTGCTTTTGCTCGGACACATTCTTCTACCAGCATACCTAAATAAATACAAAATTTACTTACTTGAGCATTAGTAGATGTTTTCCTTCCATCACAAAAAAAAATTCCTTATTTAGCTGGAAATAAAGACAGACTCAAACCTTCTTTCTTTTTTTTTTTTTTAATAAACTTTAAATAGTTAAAATAAGAGAAAAGAGTATGCTTTAAAGCCAGGCTTTTTATTGTTTTTTTCATGCCAGGCCTTAAAAGTTGGATTTACTAGCAAACACAGGGCATGAGAAGAGAGCTGAATATTTAAAATGCTGGTGTATAAGAATACGTTAAAATAGGCAGTGACTTACTCCATTTTACCTTACAACAAAAGAAAGTCTTATAGTTTTTTTTCTCCTTTTTCCTCAAATGCACTGCTTCTTATATTTATCCCAAATAATGGAAAATTATCCCTACAAAAATCCCTTTTTTTCTTAATATGAAGACTCTACAAAATATTTCCTTTATTCACTGGCAGTCTGTTGAAATTCTCCAGAATATTTAGATGTGGCTGCCTGCAGAAGTTTACATATGCCAATCCAACACTGCTAACAAAAATTGCAAACAGAGCTGAAAATTGGAATAATTCATCCAAATCATCCCACTGTAAGAAGATTGTATTTCAATTCTTCATAAACACGGATCATTTTGTTTCATTTCCAAAATTCTTCTTGATCCGCATAACACAGTGTGTGATTCACTGGTGCTTTTCTCCCTCTGTTGCTATCCTTAGTGCTATTTCCTCATTTGCATTTAAAACACTATTTGTTTTGTTGAGGTTTTTGTGCCCTCGGGGCTCTTCTAGCTTCAATTCTACCCCTGCCTAAAGACTTCTCTCTTTAAAGAGGTTTTTGATGGACTGGATTCTTGGTTTCTTCTTTTCCAGACACAGGTAAGTGTCCCACCATAAAGGCAGTGTAGAAGCAAAGCTGAATGGCAGCAGCAGTGGGAGCTGCCACAATATTTGCAAGCCAAGATCACTAACAACTTTAACAGCTACTCTTCTTTTTTTTTTTTTTTTCCCCAAATAAAAACGTCATGTTCTGTTTAGAAAATGTACTTGGTGTTTATGGTAAACATAATCTTGTGCCACAAACTACGAAAGGAATAAAGACAAGACAAGATGGCACAGTTTGATGAATTCAACATAACGAAAAATGGCAGAATCCTAGTAGCAGCTGTAATGGTAACAAACACTAAAAAATACACAAACAAAAAAGCAAACCAAGAATCTAAAAATACATCTGCTAAATTGAGGGAAAATCTATGAAATGAGATTATAAGCTTTTAAATTTCAGACTAATTACCCAGGGACCACAGGAGAAAACTAAATTCAGATGTAAAGTACTATTAGATGGAAAAGCCTCAGCTTTCCAAAATTCAAAATTATTAAAAAGCAATACATCTGTTCATCGTACTGTGATTTAACTGTTTTCTAGTCTATGGGAATAAAGAGCAGGATACAATAGTTTGCAACATCCATTTACTTTTTTTTTTCCGCTTAAATTTCTTAAACTAATTTAAGAAAATATTCTCACAGAAAAAAAATAGATGAACACAAAGAAATGCTGTGACAAATCCTGAGACAAATTATCCTACATCGTTGCTATTCTATGAAAACTGGTTTGAATAATAAACATACTGGAGTACATTAAGTAACTGCATACAAATCAAAAGTATTTGTAAGTTATTAAGTTGTGCATGTTTTTAAATGGCAAAACATGCTCATGGGTTTACTTTAAAATCTCTCACTGCTTGTTATCAAAGTTAAAAGATCATTTGCATACCAATACACATACTGTAAACATGAAATTCTCATTAAGGAAAGATGGGTTTACAGTAATCTGATCTTTTACAAAAAGCTATTGGTAACTGAATCTCTCAGTGTCTAACTTTCTAGAAAATTAAACCAATCTTTCCACTCTCCAAGGTGAAACACGACCGCTTTAGGAAATACCCCTGTTTATTTGTGAATCAGAAATACAATCGAGTGGCATATTTCCACTTGCTCTTCAGGCTGACAGTTTCAGCTTCATTCTATTTTACAAGAAAACAGCAGACTTGTGGAAGTCCTCCACAGGCTTTCACATCGCAACCAAAGTTTAATTACAGCAGGGAAGAAAAGCAGTGGTGATGCAGAGAAAGAGCAGCCCAATTGCCCCTAGCTGCTGAGAGGATCTCTCTTCCTGTTTGGCTCAGTGAGGACTTCTTGTTTTGTTTCATTTTTGCTTTTGTTTTTTTCATTTTTTTTTTCTGCCTGTCCAACTGCCTCCATCAAGAACCAAAAAGTTGACATGCTCTTCTCATACGAGCTCGAGAATGATCCTTATACCGGTAGAGTTGAGTGTCAATCGGTAGGCCGGGGAATGATACTAATGTGAAGAAAGTTATCTGGATAGCTCATGTGTTCACTTAGCCACTGCAGTGGTGTTTCCAGCATCGGCTCGATTCCATGAATCATCACTTGAGTCTTCTTTTCTCCATCTAATTCAAAGAAAAAGAGAAACCACTCAGGCACCTTGCAGGGTTCACAGAAAGATTAAACACAGCTAGCTTGCAGGAGAAAGAGCTGCGGTGCTACCAAGTTTGACATTTAAGAGAATGGAAAGCAAGAAACATCGGTATGGAGAAGGCGGAGAATTGTATCATCTAAAACAGAAACCTCGAGCTAAAATCAATTCCAAGAAAAAAAATGGTTAGAATGAAACTTAATGAAAGTGTCACTCTACTGCTCGCAACCTTTTCTCCTACAGCTTCCTGTTAACCCAGTTAAGGCAAATCCATCTCTCCAAGTCATAGCCACGTGAGATTTGTATGGATCCTACTTCTGACATTGCTTAAACTTTCTAAAAATCCAACTTTAGGATGTAATATATGTAATTATATGCAATGCTTTACATGTAATACAGCTTTTTCAGCACAACACATGTAATATGTCATGATATTCCTGAAGGGATTTTATTTTGCTGCAAATTACATCTTAAATATTTAACAGTATTACCGACAATTACTCAAATGCTAAGTTGGCACCAACTTTTTCCTCACTTAGTTTCATGTTGTGGAAAAGTTATGTTAACAAATGATTCCCAGTATGACAAGAATATATTCTAAGAATATTTCAACTCTTTTTATTTATATTTGTCCCGAAGGAAGCAAATACTTTGATCCTCTGGTTCAAATGATGGGAACCAGCTAAACCAACTGACATAACTATCACAAAATGAACTAAAAAAAAAACCCAAATGAAAATTTATCTCAGTCTTGAGAGAACAGTATTTGAAATATGCTCCAAATAATGGTTAGGAAAAAAGACAGTGACCTTTTACTGTTTTTATACTCTGGCATTTCTCACATCGACCCACCACAGCGAGTGCTCAGAAATACCACCATTGCCTTCCCCAGCTGGCATCTTGTCTCCCCCTTGCCCAAGAAGAGGGGACAGTCCCCGTCAGAAAACTGCTCCCCAAGAGCTCTGCAGGACTGCGGAGTGACTGGACCTGTTGTTGGCTCTTTCATTCTCTTCCCCTAGTTTTAACATAATGCCTAGTTTGAAAACACAAAATGTTACTTGGATTCAATAAACAAAGTGATTTTTCAGCTCTCTGAAGCATTTACTGTAGATTGGTATCCACACCAGCACAACCTAAGCCATACCTGTAATCAAGTTATCCTTGAATCCCTGTTGACTTTATGGTAGCAATAATACACCCTGCAGATGCAAAAAGCCAGGTATTTGTCCAAATTCTAGCCTTACATATTAGTTACATGCCACCTGCATAGGGTACCTTATTCTGTACAAGCCCTCAATTAGACAAACATACACAGCTTGATTCCATAAAAATATTTTTAACACTTCTCAAAATAAAGCTGATAACTGGTTTCTACAAATTGGCCAAATTTGATGGCAGTCATTTACATTTTGTGTTACCAGTTAATTTTTTGGAAACAACACATTGGCATACATGGGCAGAAATGACAGTATTAGTCTCTGAACTCCTCTAGAATGATTTTTGCATTCTGAAATATGCTGGGAAAAAAAAAAAAAAAGAAGGCAGCTTGAAAAAAAAAAACTTCCCCAACAGTTAAATAAAATCCCAAGAGCACAGAATTTCATTCTACTTGCCAACATAATGAGTATAGTACTGCAAAATTATTTGATTATTCATCAAAATCTACACAGTAATTTAGACATATTAGCCCTTAAATTTTTCTCTGAATTTTTTTTCCATTTCCTCCAGATTTTGTGTCATAATCCTGTCCTTAAATATATCTTACGGTTGTTCCTATAGCTGTGTGATTTGTGAAATTTGTGAATTTAACAAGAGCATTCTTACTAATGGGCTGACAGATAAAAGTCTGCTCAGAACCAATTCAATTCTTTATTTCCCTTTCAACAGTGAATCATCAGCAATCACTCTCTCCGGAAAAGCTACCCAGGGAATTTTTCACTTCTAGAATCAAAAAAAATAAAAAGGTTTCTCATGCAAGCATTCAAGTATGTGGTGGCAGTGACTGATTTTACTGAATTCAATGAATATCTACAAGTTCTCTTTTATCTTCACTACCTGCAGCGTACTGAAGATACAAATAAGATGAATTTGAAACCAGTCTGTTCATGTCAAATGCAAGTGGGCCATTACTCATGTCCTTGTTAACTAACCAGTGTCTATGAACAGTCTAGTCTAGGTTTGCATTACACCATATGGCATTAGGACTGTGCTAGCTGCTGACTATTTTTAGTGGGAACCTATGCATAAATAGATGAAATACTGTAGAATTTCAGTATCAGCTTCTTGTTACAGGAGGAAAATCAGAGAAGTATTTCCCTCGATTTTTCTTGTACTATCTACCATAACTTTTAAGGTTGTGTATGCATGTTTATACACTCCAATTTGATGCCTCTTGCTTACAAATGAGAAGCAGTCTTTCTGGATGCTCCCATCCCCCAGTTCCCACCCACTTTTGTTCCCACTTTCTCATACAAATCTTTTATTCCACTCCTCAGCAACCTGAGCAAGTCTCAGAGGTCAATGAAGAGTTTGGGTTTAACTGAAGTCTGCATCTCTGCATTAGCGTTGTTTGTGCCTCAGTATTATCTCTGACAAGGCATCACCTCTTAATTCCTTTTACCCCTGGGGCTTGACTAGCAAGATCTTATCCATCCATTCTGTATTTACTGTAGCTTTTTTTCCACATAATCTATTGTTTTTACTTTAGCCTTCCCCCCTCCTTTTGTTACTAACGACCATAAGCTCTCACTCTTCAAAGCCTTCTTCAAATTTCGTGTTTTCAATAATTTCCCCATTTTTCTGAATCACGTGCAGAGATTTTTTTCTCCAATAGATGGCTCTTTATAGCAAAAACCTGTCAACATACATATGTTAAAAGAATTTGCTGGAAAATATTGTTTCCTCACCAGTATCCACCACTGCCACTGTCACCTGAGTTCTGGATGATTTGCTATCTCTTCATGAAGCTTCATCCATCTGATTTACATCCGTATTTACACAGATGTCACTTTGTATGCATGCTGACAGATGAAGAGAGGTCCTCTCTCCCCACCCTTTATTCTACGATAATACAAACTGTAAGAAGATCGACAAAATAAATGATTCTATAAATTAGAAGATTACAAATTGTTAAGCAAAGTATACTTGAGTGGTGTAAGATGTAAATGATTTACTTACAATTAAGTTTAATGTCATGTCATTGGATTAAGCCTGTAAAAACTGGGGCAAATAACTGCTTATTTGTAGTGCACCGTGTCCACACCTGAGAAGATCGTAACTGCTGGCATTGATTTTGCAGTGTTCTGCAACGTAGTAAGATGCCTGATTTTCTTCAAAGCAAGGATTTAAAATTTTCCAGACATCCCATCTATATTTTTCTTTTTTAATCAAGATAAACCTGAATTACCGAATGGTCACCATTCGATCTAAGGATGGTCTATTTTATTCTGTTACAAATTAAGAAAGAGGATAATGGAAATACCAGAAAAATAAAAGCATAGTAATAAATGTTCCATAGAAAAAATTGTAATATATGATAACTATTGACTTAAGATCAAAGCATTTTTATATTACCAAAGTGACAAACAGGTAATAAATACTCTTTTAGCACTTACAAGAAAGTCTATAGACCTATCATGTCATTTCCTATCAGGGTGAAAGTTGCAGGCTTAAATGATTTTCCTTTGCTACCCTTGTGAAAATGCACAAATTCAGAGACTGCTAAAATTACTTGTGGCCTGAGATGAGCAGAGATTATAAAACTTCTGCCAAAGCTTCAGGCCACTTCATCTGCAGGAGATGAAAATTATGCTTACCTGTTGCATATTAACACATTTTCGGGACATTTCAGATGACCTGTTGTAGAAATTTTAAGGAAAAAAAAAAAGACCTGTAAAATTCAAATAATGTACTTCTTGCATAGGCCTATACTGGACAAGGATACTGAAAAGCAGGAGGGAGCATAACCAAAGAATATGCCACACAGTAGCAGTGCTATGAATGTTACAGGCCTAGCCACAGCTGAAAGAGCTGGAGAAATGGGACACAAGTCGATCATCTTTGGAGCATATAATTGTTTCTAGATTAGATAAATGTATTCCTGACAACATGGCATACCACACAACGAGAAAACTCATTTCAAGACAGAGTGACAAGGAAGCGAGTTCTCCTCCTGTGGATATGGTTTGCCGACTTCCCTTTGCCCCGGTCCTGCTCCTCAGGGTGCCAGATATTTAGGAGCCATCGCTTGGAAGTGGTCAGCACTCTCTTGGACAGCACGTGCTCAGCATCGAGAGAGGGGATCTCCCAGATTTTTTGTTTGTTTAAACAAATTTATAACTTTCAGTAACATGCTTCACATGAAGATGCAGCTAAAGTTCATCACTAACAAATATTACTGCCCTTGTTTTAATTTTTTTTAAAGCGTAAAGCCAAACTGGGACCAAATCTCTGGCCATCAACGACAAAAGGTTCCTTGCAAAAAGCTAGTCTTGCAATCTAGCACAAACGATCGCATACAAAACTATCTACAGTCATTTACGAAAGATTATACTGTATAGCAAGCAAAGAAATTCAAATACATTCTCACTTATCACGGGTGAGAAAAGGTAACTGAAGAGTGGCTGCAGTGATCCGTGCCTCTGTATGCCTCATGTTGGTGATTCTAAGATATAGAGACAGCCCCTGACAAACCTTATGATCTGAAGAACTGAAGAGCATCAGTAAAAGAACTTAAATAAACAAGCACTTGAAGGACTTATTTCATTCCATGTACTTTCAAGTAGACAAGATCTTTAAACAGGAAAAAAAATTCCAGTGTAGAACAAGTCATAATGTCTTGCTACATTAAAAAACCCCCAAACCTCAATTGCGTCAATAACAGTTTAATTTGATATAGGGATGTTCCAACTACTAGCACAAAAACTAATGAAGAGCATTAACCCTTCAACAGAAATCTGTTCTAAATTGACAACC